CGTTAATACACAACACGATATACCACAGCGTTAATACACAACAACAAGATATACCAGAGCGTTAATACACAACAAGATCTACCACATCGTCAATATACAACAAGATATACAGGAGCGTTAATACACAACAACAAGATATATCAGAGCGTTAATACACAACAACAAGATATACCAGAGCGTTAATACACAACAAGATATACCACATCGTCAATATACAACAAGATATACCGGAGCGTTAATACACAACAACAAGATATAACACAGCGTTAATACACAACAACAAGAAATACCAGAGCGTTAATACACAACAAGATATACCACAGCATTAATAGACAACAAGATATACGACAGCGTTAATACACCAGAGTGTTAATACACATCAAGATATCCCGGAGCGTTAATACACAACAACAAGATATAACACAGCGTTAATACACAACAACAAGAAATACCAGAGCGTTAATACGCAACAACAAGATATACCACAGCGTTAATACACAACAAAATATACCACAGCGTTAATTCACAACAAAATATACCACAGCGTTAATACACAACAAGATGTACCACAGCATTAATACACAACAAGATATACAACAGCGTTAATACACCAGAGTGTTAATACACATCGTGTTTTACCGGAGCGTTAATACACAACAACAAGATAGACCACGGCGTTAATACACAACAAGATATACCAGAGCGTTAATACACAAAAACAAGATATACCAGAGAGTTAATACACAACAACAAGATATACCAGAGCGTTAATTCACAACAATACACAACAAGATATTCCAGAGCGTTAATACACAACACGATATACCAGAGCGTTAATACACAACAAGATCTACCACATCGTCAATATACAACAAGATATACCGGAGCGTTAATACACAACAACAAGACATACCACAGCGTTAATACACAACAAAATATACCACAGCGTTAATACACAACAAGATGTACCACAGCATTAATACACAACAAGATATACCACAGCGTCAATACACCAGAGTGTTAATACACATCAAGATATACCGGAGCGTTAAAACACAACAACAAGATATACCACAGCGTTAATACACAACAACAAGACATACCACAGCGTTAATACACAACAAAATATACCGCAGCGTTAATACACAACAAGATATACCACAGCGTTAATACACAACAAAATATACCACAGCGTTAATACACAACAAGATATACCACAGCATTAATACACAACAAGATATACCACAGCGTTAATACACCAGAGTGTTAATACACATCAAGATATACCGGAGCGTTAATACACAACAACAAGATATACCACAGCGTTAATACACAACAAGATATACCAGAGCGTCAATACACAACAAGACATACCACAGCGTTAATACACAACAAGATATACCAGAGCGTTAATACACAACAACATGATAAACCATAGCGTCAATACACAACAACAAGATATACCAGAGCGTCAATACACAACAACAAGATATACCAGAGCGTTAATTCACAACAACAAGATATACAAGAGCATTTATACACAACAACAAGATATACCAGAGCGTTAATACACAACAACAAGACATACCACAGCGTTAATACACAACAACAAGATATACAAGAGCGTTAATACACAACAACAAGATATACCACAGCGGTAATACACAACAACAAGATATACCAGAGTGTTAATACACACCAAGATATACCACATCGTCAATACACAACAAGATATACCAGAGCGTTAATACATAACAACAAGATATACCAAAGCGTTAATACACAACAACATGATATACCATAGCGTCAATACACAACAACAAGATATACCAGAGCGCTAATTCACAACAACAAGATATACAAGAGCATTTATACACAACAACAAGATATACCAGAGCGTTAATTCACAACAACAAGATATACCAGAGCGTTAATACATGATAAACCATAGCGTCAATACACAACAACAAGATATACCAGAGCGCTAATTCACAACAACAAGATATACAAGAGCATTTATACACAACAACAAGATATACCAGAGCGTTAATACATGATAAACCATAGCGTCAATACACAACAACAAGATATACCAGAGCGTTAATACACAACAACAAGATATACCAGAGTGTTAATACACACCAAGATATACCACATCGTCAATACACAACAAGATATACCAGAGCGTTAAAACACAACAACAAGATATACAACAGCGTTTATACACAACACGATATACGAGAGCGTTAATACACAACAACAAGATATACCAGAGTGTTAATACACAACAAGATATACCACATCGTCAATACACAACAAGATATACCAGAGCGTTAATACACAACAACAAGATATACAACAGCGTTTATACACAACACGATATACCAGAGCGTTAATACACAACAACAAGATATACAACAGCGTTTATACACAACACGATATACCGGAGCGTTAATACACAACAACAAGATATACCACAGCGTTAATACACAACTAGATATACCAGAGCGTCAATACACAACAAGACATACCACAGCGTTAATCCACAACAAGATATACCAGAGCGTTTATACACAACAAGATATACCAGAGCGTTAATACACAACATCAAGATATACCAGAGCGTTAATACATAACAACAAGATATACCACAGCGTTAATACACAACTAGATATACCAGAGCGTCAATACACAACAAGACATACCACAGCGTTAATACACAACAAGATATACCAGAGCGTTTATACACAACACGATATACCAGAGCGTTAATACACGACACGATATACCAGAGCGTTAATACACAACAACAAGATATACCAGAGGGTTAATACACAACAACAAGATATACCAGAGCGTTAATACACAACAAGATATACCAGAGCGCCAATACACAACAAGATATACAAGAGCGTTAATACACAACAACAAGATATACCACAGCGTTAATACACAACAAGATATACCACAGCGTTAATACACAACTAGATATACCAGAGCGTCAATACACAACAAGACATACCACAGCGTTAATACACAACAAGATATACCAGAGCGTTAATACACAACAACAAGATATACCAGAGCGTCAATACACAACAAGATATACCAGAGCGCCAATACACAACAACAAGATAAACAAAGATATCAATACACAACAGCAAGATTGATACAAAAACTACAAAACATTAAGAAGATAAATAAGAACATCTATACACGAGGACAGCAACATAGTCATCAATACAGAAAGTAAAACAAGTCAACAACAGAAACTGAGGAGATTTTAAAATAAAATGAATCCAGGCGTTACGCAAGGTTAAGTGTTCCCCTGCTGTCGTGAAACCTGCATTTAAGCATGGAAAGTCAATGTTTTACTTTATCATATATTTATGTAAATCTATTGCATTGTACCATTACATATATCCTTGTGTATGCTATGTATTTGTGGCACAAAGACATTTGTGTGTATTGCTGAACAAAGATTCTATACATCATATGACACACGTCTGTATGTTAATGACACACGGTGCATCTTGATCCTGTTACCACAGCTATTGAAGTTGACATAGAGAAATAATAAAGTGCACAGAAAGACAGAAATATAAAGTTGAATAGACAGACAGATAGGCAGAAAAAAAATAAACAGATAAACAAAAAGAAAAAAACAGGCAGCAAATCGGAAATATTGGATAACACAAGGGGATAGAAATGTTAAGGTGCACAGACAGATGGACGGAAATAGTGTTGCTGACGACAACAAGTTTAAGTTGGACAGACAGACAGAAATGTTGAGGTCGACAGATATGGACCCCAGTGGCAGTGGATATAAGCTTCAACTCTGTCTGGGTAATCCTGGTTTTAAGGGCAACAGATATTTTAGTTATTTTATTTTTCGTACGAATAACCGTTATACCTACCTTGAAATTTATAAAATTGTTTTTTTAGAGACTTATATAATTTTACATTTATATGTTTTATAATGTAATCAGCCATATAAGTTATTAGTGCCAAAACATGTATTGGTTACTGTATGAAATTGTTATGTTGTTGTACCTTTTTATCAAATAAACTTGAATTGAATTCAATTGAATTCAAGATAGATAGAAATAAAGAAGTGGAGAGACAGAAATCAAAATTGAAGTGGTGTCTTGATATCCCGCTTAAGTCATAAATATTGTTTTAACAATTCGGAGGCCAGTAGACTTTTCCATAGGTTGGCTTTAGGTCAAAGACCAGTGTTACTTTATCTCTGTGATAACAGGCTGAGCCCAGTTTATAATAGGTCTACCTTTATCTTTCTAATTATGAGTCCGTTCAAACATGAATCACCTGCGCCTTACCTGTACAAATACCTGTATTGCTTATCTGGCCAACGACATATCAGTACACACGTTAGAGACGGCTTGGAGTGTATCCCACAATGCATTGCAGTCTGACTGTAACAAGAATCCATTCATGAGTGACCATAATAATAATAACAATATCAAATCAGGAAAAGTCAATACATAACAAAACAATTTCAGTAGGTAATTCACAAAGTTGATATCTGTAAGTTTCGTATTTTGCCCTGGAATAGCTCAGGAAAGTCATATAAAGCGTGTTTCCAATGGAGTCCCCTGTTGTTCACCGTGTCTTTGAATGCGCATGAAACGCTCTGATGTTCATGCATGCTAGTATTTGTAATATCATTAGATAAATTGTATTAAGAACCATATAAAAAAACCTCATTAACTTATTTTTAGATATACATTTTATTTTCAAAATGTTCCGTCACTCTAAGTATATGCAATTCAATAGATATAACCCGATGTCGAAAAATTGGCAAACTATTGTCCCGATTACATTATTATTAAGTTTCATTTTCCTGTTCTGTCATTGTTTAGAAATGCCATGACATCAGCATATCTAATCGTTCGGGGTCTTGCTCTCAAGATCAGATAGTTTATACAGGAGAGGTTAAAGGTCATTCGTCGGGTCACATAGTCGAATCGAGGTATGTCGTTGTAGATAGACCCTTGTGCTACCTCTGCACGCCGCCATATTGCACAATTCCAGGTTTTTTTGGGGGGGTACGGTAGATGTCATTTGAATGGATTGAAGATTAGGATTAAAAATACAAAAAGGTTAGTAAAGAGTCTATCAGCGAGTGTATCGGTTGACGATATTTACGGAATAAAACAACGGGTTTCTGTACATGAAGGTACGTTAATTGGCAAGCATCGTGTATAGTGTTTCCTATTTACGGATTGAAAGGGAAGTCTTCTTTGCCTGAAGGTACGTTCAGTATTATCAGCGTCATAATTAATGCCCGTTTACTGTTTAAAATGAAGGATATTGCCATATCAGTGTTTATAAAAATAGCCATCACTGTAGATATTTTATTTCGTAGCTTCCCACTTGTTAGGTGTAAGATCATGTTTAAAGCTTGTTTTACCCCTAATCTCACTTAAATTGGAAAAAAAGTGTTAAATGTACTTCAATCATAATGATTCAAGTATCATTTATAAAGATTCCTCTGTACGGTAAGGTCATACAGGACCACGTGAGTAGTAACCCGTCTACACAATAAAACCTAAGATAAGGCCACGCGGTTTTCTAAAGGTCTATACTTACTAGTACTATAAAGCCATATAAGGCCATACTTTACTACGAATTATTTTCCAATCATTCAAAAACGTTAAATTCGAAATAATATCAGCTTATAGCAAACTCTTTATTTTTAAAGTATAATATTCAGTAGGTTTGTATCAAAGTTCTATACACATATAATGTAAGTATCAAATGTGCCGAAACGTCGCAAGACCGACTGGTCCCTTTTTTTCAACCTATGATTCAGTGAGCGATTTGTGTTTCTACACAGATGAATCTTATTGAAGACACTAAGAACGTTGTGATTTGAACATTTTTATTTGAGAAATGTTTTGATTTGAGATGTTTAATTTTTCACAATAAAAAGAATAATTTTAGACAAGCTACAAACAGTTTGGTTTTAACATTTAAGCAACGTTTAGATGGAATTGATATGACACACAAGTATGGAAAAACAACCCCAATCTAGGAAAACTGATGAATAAAATCTCGACTTTAAGATGGTTTTAAAGGGTGTGTAACGTTATATCAACAGCTAAGGTAATTTAAGGACGTTCCCGAGAAACGACAAGAGTTATCATTTCTCGCTTAAGCATACGTAACCAGTTATGTTAAATAATATGAACTTTGAAAATGACAGACAATTATGAATGGTGAATATTTTCTAAAAATGTTGTTTTCTTATATCGTATTTAGAATCTTGTACGGACAGGGGACTATGCACAGTTGCAGCTATGAACATTCGGCGTTGTAGTGGTAAGTAAAGGGAAAGTTCTCTTATCAGTTTACCTCGGGGCTAAACAATCTTTTAAATAACGCCAACCTTAAAGGAACAGGGCGTAAACTATTTACAGGTGTGTAGCTACCTTCTAATCAAATCCTTAAATATACTTTTTGTTATGTATTATGCGTGGTCAAAATACTGATTAAATGTTAACACGGGTTAAAAGTTTGCAGTTTGTTAGTTTTTTGCCTATTAAAACAAAGCAAATATTTTAACGACTACCAACGATCAGCATTGCGCTTTAAGAACTAAAATAACTGGGTGCCGTTTTTATCATTAATCTTTACTAATAATTTTCTGTAAAATCAGTTACAATGCAGTATATGTTGGGTTTTTTTCTTTCAGAAAAAAAAGATAGACGTTAATATTGCATAAACTTAACAACTGAAATATAAAATATTGCAGTCAAAAGCCACTAAATAGCACCACCGTTCTTCTAGATTTTATTTTATTTATCATCATTATTATTATTATCAATTTTTGTTTAGGGGGAGGGGGGGACATTTTTCTTTTCTTTTCTCTCATGCCTTCGATTGTTAGTGTTTCTTGGATATTTCCTATTTCTTTATCATAATTACAAACTTTGTTACCATACACATTAAACACTGTCAGTCTACACACTTTGTTACCATACACATTAAACACTGTCAGTCTACACACTTTGTTACCATACACATCAAACACTGTCAGTCTACACACTTTGTTACCATACACATCAAACACTGTCAGTCTACATACTGTGTTATCATACACATTAAACACGTTCAGTCTACACACTTTGTTACCTTACACATTAAACACTCTCAGTCTACACACTTTGTTACTATACACATCAAACACTGTCAGTCTACACACTTTGTTACCATACACATCAAACACGGTCAGGCTACATACTGTGCTACCATACACATAAAACACAGTCAGTCTACACACTTTGTTACCATACACACCAAACACTGTCAGTCTGCACACTGTGCTACCATACACATAAAACACTCTCAGTCTACATACTGTGTTACCATACACATTAAACACTCTCACTCTATACACTTTGTTACCATACACATCAAACACGGTCAGGCTAGATACTGCTAACATACACATAAAACACTGTCAGTCTACACACTTTGTTACAATACACATCAAACACGGTCAGGCTACATACTGTGCTACCATACACATAAAACACAGTCAGTCTACACCCTTTGTTACCATACACATCAAACACTGTCAGTATACACACTGTGCTACCATACACATAAAACACTCTCAGTCTACATACTGTGTTACCATACACATTAAACACTCTCACTCTATACACTTTGTTACCATACACATCAAACACGGTCAGGCTACATACTGCTAACATACACATAAAACACTGTCAGTCTACACACTTTGTTACCATACACATCAAACACTGTCAGTCTACATACTGTGTTATCATACACATTAAACACGTTCAGTCTACACACTTTGTTACCTTACACATTAAACACTCTCAGTCTACACACTTTGTTACTATACACATCAAACACTGTCAGTCTACACACTTTGTTACCATACACATAAAACACAGTCAGTCTACACACTTTGTTACCATACACATCAAACACTGTCAGTCTACACACTGTGCTACCATACACATAAAACACTGTCAGTCTACACACTGTGTTACCATACACATAAAACACTCTCAGTCTACATACTGTGTTACCATACACATTAAACACTGTCAGTCTACACACTTTGTTACCATACACATTAAACACTGTCAGTCTACACACTGTGCTACCATACACATAAAACTCTCTCAGTCTTCACACTTTGTTACCATACACATCAAACACTGTCAGTCTACACACTGTGCTACCATACACATAAAACTCTCTCAGTCTACACACTTTGTTACCTTTCTCTTGTAAGGCAAGCATTATATCGAAAACCAATTTAGAAATTTTACAAATACACAAAAACAATCAAATGACGAAAAGTCAATAAAAAACAAAGAAACTCTAGAGACACCAAAGCATGAAAATAATTAATGAAAAACTGTTACAGATATCGTAGGCTGGCATCTGTCAAGGTATAAAACTAAGAGCATGTTCCTGTCTTATAAGTTCCAGTACGAGATTAATTATCTTAATAAGGATATTATTGTGTAATTATCCGGATGACTGGACAAGTTATGTTAAGGAAACATGTAACGACGTAATATTTTATATTTTGTATTATATATCTTTTATTTTATTTTTCCAGAGTTTATACTACCAGCATTTGTCTGCAGTGTATTTCTCAATGCATTTTGTCTCCTCGGGAGTTTCTGGCAATTTTCGGAAAATACATCTGCCTCCAAATTCCTTCAGCCAAAAGGTTATAGCTACCTATGTCCCTATTTTAGAGGAGGACTCGGCAACCTCATGTTCATGTATGCTTCAATCTACGGCATGGCGAAAGAAAAGAGTATGGGCATCGGAATATACAAGGATATGGAGCTGTATAAACTATTCAACATAACGGAAAACGCCATAGAAGATCAACAGATTTGTAATAAGGCTGTGGAAATATTTGAATACAGACCGTGTGCCTACGACGTAGAAACGACCGGATTTACGTCATCAAAGAATATCAAACACAGTTCGTATCTCCAGTCTTGGAAGTATTTTCAGCAAGTTGATGATGATATACGAGCGCAGTTTGTTTTTAAAGATTCTATACAATCTAGGGCAGGTGATGTTCTCAGACAGGCAGTTAAGAGTTATTTTAATACATCTTCATCATCACGATCCAACGATAAGACTTTAACAATCATAGGTGTTCACATCAGGAGAGGGGATTACCTGAAAAAAGACAAAATAAAGTACGGGTATGCGGTAGCTAGCTCGTCATATGTAGATAAAGCCATGGACTATTTCAGAGATAAATATAATAACACGTTGTTTCTAGTGTTCACCAATCCAAATGCAGCAGATATCAAGTGGTGTAAAGAGAATGTGAACGGAAGTGACGTTCTACACATGAAAGCAAACATACGTGAAGTTGACATGAGTGCCATTGCACAATGTAACCATACAGTTATGACGGTGGGAACATTTGGCTGGTGGGCCAGCTGGCTTAACAAAGGAGAAACTGTTTATTACAAACATGTCGCAAGACCAAAAAGTTCATTATTGAACGATTTTAGTAGTGATATGTCGGATTATTTCTATCCCGGTTGGAAAGGAATGGTTTAGAATATCAACTGACAATATAAAATCCCGTTGTCTTTTATTTTCGTGCTTTCATGCCTCCTAATTATACGACTACATGAACGACCTTACAGCAGCAAAGGGCCATGATTAAAAACAGTTTTTCTAGTTCAGCAGTTATATTGTTATTTCTGTTCACAGTTAATAGGTGTCATACATTACAAACATTGGATCTTTTACTCTTGTTTTTGATATCGAAATCGCATTTCAGTTTAATACAGATGCATAACATAGACATATGATCCGCAAACAAGCTTAGAAAGCTTAAATAATCTATTATCTATGGGAAGTGCTAAGCCTTATAGAAAAATATTTAAAAAAAATGATAAACCACAAAAAACACAAAAAGAAACAATAACTCGTTCAGTTATGAAAAATAACGATCAAACAAATAAGTAAAGGTTTAGAAAAGGGGGAAAATGAAAACAGGGGAAACGTTGTCAACGTAAATCTTTGCTGTTTTCATACTATGCATGCTTTAAACATGTTTTGTAATCTGCAAGAAACACAGATACATGAAGCGGCTTATAAATTCAATATTAAGTGTGACAATTCGCAGCTCTCCAGGCGAATACATCTGCAATGCTGTTTTTACCATGAGTAAATTAGATCAACCAAGTAAAATTTCCGACACCGAAGTGTAATAACCTACTCTCGGTGACTTGGTACGGGTTGAGTTGGGTAAAGTGTGCTTAAGAAATAAGAAATGTACATTTATTTCATACATACATCACAAATCAATTCGTCTTTTCTTTTTGAGTTTTAAAGAGCTGCATTCCATCATGGTTTCCTGAAAAGTAAACACGACAAAAAGAGGGGTATACATGGATGTTTTGAATATGTTGTTTTCGAGAGGGGAAGTTTCTGGAATAAAAAGTCACGTGATTTGGCAGCCACGTGGTACATTAGGAGGGAATGCCTACTTCCGGTGTAAAGGTTATTCAGAAGCACGCAAAATTCATCAAACTGTCAGATTGATAAATCAAAGAAGGAAATGACCGAAATTTCACAAGTTAGACATGAAAACCCGATCTACGCGCCAATATTTTAGCATTTTGCTGTGACATCTGTCATAGTATCTGTGCACCTTATCCCTAATCACGTGACTTACGTATCTAATCTTGGGCTATCCATACCGAAAAATTATCTCGAAACGATTTAAATTGTTAAAGACGGGTTTATGTTTAAATTTTTAAATAAGAAGGGTGGAAATTCCATTTTTTGACCGATAGTAAAAGTTAGTTTTGGTAAAATTGCGATTAACATTGATTATACATGTAGTATCGTACGAAATCTTTTGATATCATGATAATGCATATCAGTGTTTGTTCTATTCAGGATGTTTTGTAAATAGTATGGGACTATGTCATGAACTGTTCTGTGTTATTAAATAATTTTGTGAATATAACGCTTATGTGCAAGATATTGGGTGTGTTTTGTAAAAAAAAAAATCATCTGGTTATGAAAAAAAAGGGTTAAATATATAAAGTGTAAATAAATTTCACAGCCAGGCTTAATTTTAGCTCACTTCTTACCGAACGCTCTTTTGATATCAGTAGGCACTATAAATAAAACAAAGTAAAGTAAAAGATATCTTTTTTGATTAATAGAAAAAATACGAACAACAATTAATCAACACCCAAGGACAAGCAAATAAAACGTCGGACAATAGCAGGAATTGAGGGAATCTCAATACACAAAAACAATCAAATGACGAAAAGTCAATAAAAACAAAGAAATTCAGGAGACACCAAAGCATGAAAATAATTTGTGAAAAACTGTTACAGATATCGTAGGCTGGCATCTGTCAAGGTATAAAAATAAGAACATGTTCTTGTCTCATAAGTTCCAGTACGAGATTAATTATCTTAATAAGGATATAATTGTGTAATTATCCGATTGACTGGACAAGTTATGTTAAGGAAACATGTAACGACGTAATATTTTATAATGGTATACGTAATATCTTTAATTAGAGAGTACATCAAAAAACAAAAGTTGATGTTTAAAATGATCTGAACCGTGTCGGCTGATGTTCTGAATGTAAAACTTCATTTCTGTGCGATATATAAAGCTATGTAAATGTCATATTTTTTCAGTGGAAATATAGCTATCCAAACGGAGTTGACATGTAACATTGCTCTTCGGAAATAAACAATTACTTAAGCAACTGTTTTGACATTCGTATACCATACTATTCCTGCTCTATATTTGTTCATCTAGAAACTCTACTGAATTTAATGTTAAATTGCAGTGTCATCGTAGAATCTAATCAAATTTCTGGTTAGGGGGAGGGGGTTTGGGAATCTTCCCTCGGATGTAGTTTTTGAGAGCCCGGGTCTGACCCAAATACTATACCCCAGGTAGACTGTTCCTGTGCTTCATACCTACATGTACACACCATCGACTTCAGCAATCAAAGCTATGATTGTACTTTGTGTTGAGAGCTGTCCCATATAATTCTCCGGCCCACCCTTAAAACATACATGTGAAGAATTTATTTTTACTGTTTCACGGGGCATACCACCTTAAACACGCTAATATATAATGAAACAATCTCAAGGGACAATCAATCAACTTTGAACCATATATATCGAACCTTTTTAAACGTTATAAATAGTCCGCCATTTTTAAAAAGCCCACTACAAGATTAGTCAGCAGTATGGTAAGCCACAATGGCGTCTTAGACATATACACAGTGTTTGATTGAGGACAACCAAAAACACGGTTATCGTGAGGATGTAGTTTAACATGTGGATCATACGGACAACCATTTATGGGTAAGTAATATATATTCTTCCATATCAACAGGAAGGTTCGTGGGGTATTTTATTTAACCGTCCTATATGTTATCTAGGTCGAGGTGGCAAATCAATCGAATTGCATAGTATGGCGATTTACTATAGGTCTATAACCACAACCTGTTAAATACCCCATTCTGTATTTCATTACTCTGCCATAAACTACTGTGGTGTTAAATGCTGGTGACGTTTTATTCTTGGCAATCAGTACCACCCATAATAAACCGTTTAACTCCTGACTATCTTTATAATATTATTGTACCTTTTATTAATAATGCTAATAACCCATATGGATTAAGACATACTAGATTCTTTAATGTACCTCAAGCTCGAACTCATATCTACAACACTAGTTTCTTTCCTGATACAATGAACTTATGGAACTTATTAGATTCTTCTATAACATCTGCTAATTCCCTTACTTCGTTCAGATATAAACTTAATAACTGTTATAATAATCAAGTAGGTAATATCTCCCTGATCTTTAAACAGTGCAATCCTAGGAATCTTGGTGTGTGTGTGTGTGTGTGTGTGTGTGTGATTAGAAGTATGTATGTTGCCAGTGTGTGTAGTTTAAACGTTCATCCATATCATTAATTCAAACATATATACATATTTTCCATACAAATGTCTATCTATTTCAATAAGTAATAATTATCTATAATTTTGTAAATATATCTTATTATTCTGTGTAAATGTATAGATGTTGTACCGGTTCAGGAGAAGACTAATATAGGCACTGCCTGTTGTCTAATCCTTTTGTAAATACAATAAAATTTGTTGAAACCAAAATACCACCCTTACCGTTATCAGTGTAAGACAACACTGTGTTAAATATCTGGGCTTTGAACTAATTTCAAAACAACTTGTGCGAGTTTAAGGTGTATCAACGATAATGATACAATATACTTCAGTATGTCGAAGAAGCATGGCGTGTAGGAAGGGTTTGAATCGGATCGTAATAAACATAGAGTTCATATTTAAACTCTCATGAGTAAACATCAAACAGTATTTTACATAAAAAGGTGACATTAATAACACGGACAACTATAGAGGTATCACTTTGTTAAGTTGTGCTGGTAAACTTTTTACTGCTATCATAAATGAAAGACTCATATCGTTTGAAATGAAATATAATAAAGAAACAGACGCCCAGTTTGAATTTAGAAAAAAAACGCTTCTACTGTAGAAGCCATTTTCGCTTTACAATCTTTAATTAATCGTACTTTAAAAAGGAAAAAAAACCATCTCTATTATTGTTTTATAGATTATACAAAAGCGTTTGCTTTTATTAACAGACAGAATTTATGGTATCAAACTATCAAAGAAGGTGTAGAAGGTAAACTTCTTAAAGTGATCAGATCATTATATAAAAGTGTGAAATGTTGTGTTAAATATAATGGTTCTCTCTCCGAATTTTTTGATATTGAAAACGGATTATTTCAGGGGGAAATATTATCACCCCCTTTGTTTGCTATATATGTAAATGATTGTGAAATGCAGTTTTTATCAGATAATTGTCCATCTATTGAAATACAGGATATCAATATGTTTTTACTTATGTATGCAGATGATGTGGTGACTATATCTGAAACACCAGAGGGTTTGCAAACAATGTTAGACTCTCTTGCAAATAATACCAAAAAATGAAATTTGACCTTAAATACTGGGAAAACAAAAATTGTCGTGTTTAGAAATGGAGGGATATTAAGGGGAAATGAAATATGGTTTTACGAAGGAAATAAATTGGATGTTGTCGATCAATTTAATTACCTTGGTGTACTATTGAATTTTAATTTTAATTTAGACAAACTCAAAAGCAAGTTGCTGACCAGGGGAGAAAAGCTTTGTTTGCATTATTTTAAAAATGTTTGTAAGAAAAATTATGTTGATATAGAAACTCAATTGTATGTTTTTGATACTTAGGTAAATAGTGTTTTAAGTTATTGAGCAGAAGTATGGGGCTTCCATGCCGCGCCAGATATCGCAAAATTGCATGTGAGATTCTGCAAACAAATATTAGGACTACATAAAAAAACTAGTAATGGTATGGTGTATTATGACCTTGGAAGATAATCCCATGAAACTAGTTCGAAAATTACGAATATTCAAATATTGGATAAAACTGAGAAATGTAGGAAATTGTATTCTAAGGTCATGCTATGATGATATGCTTTGTAATAATGACATTTGGTTAATGAGTGTAAGAAATATTACGTAAGACATACAAGCATGTATAAATTAATTCAACTACTTACTTGTGAGAATGTATCCGACATTCGAAATCTTTGCAATTTTTTAATACAAGCAAACAAAAGAAGATCTGAGCTGATTGCTGGTTAGTGTTCACTCTCCACGGTATGTGTGTGTGTATGTGTGTGTGTATCATATTGTATGTTGTCTCTGTATTGTTTTGTATATATGTTATAACTGATAAGTCAACCGACTTAAAGTAATAAAGAACTTGAACTTGAACATACACACATTAATCGTTACAAGTATATGAGTGTGGTGTAGTATAGCACGGTATGGCATAGCCTACAGTATAGCAAGGGCTGTGATGAATACAGTATACATTGTACACTGTAAAATGTTAAACATGACATACAAAAAAAAACTACTGCAAGGCTTCAATGACATTTAATTTAGTATGAGATAAAAATATGTATTATGACGTATAATACTATAAGTTATAGAATGACATACAACATATTTTTTTTTTTTTTTTTTTTTTTATAAAATATAACAAGAAAAATATCATACAGAATTGATCATCACCTGGTATTTATTATAAAGACATTCAATATATCTATATAATGATATACAACAAGATCTCGTGCTATACAATATTATATAATTATGGACTTCAGGTGAGGTCTATCCCTGATTTACGAACCTGGTCTGAACAATATTCACAGAGGCCGAAGGCCGAGGTGAATATTGTACAGAGGTCCGTAAATCAGGACTGATCAGAGTGAAACTGAAGTCCACAATTGTTTTATTATATGACATTTTACAATGAGATTAATAATTCTTCTGTCATAAACACATGGATGGCATGGACAATTTTGGAATCACAGAGTGAAGGACTTCAAATACAAAATAACATACACAAAAGTTGAATTTCAGATTCAATTCATGTGAAATATATGTTTTTAGTGATTGTATTGGTTGTTTGAGGCATGTTATGTATGTTCATCTTGTGCATAATGAATAGATCTTTCGATACATGTGCGACATGTGTGTGAAAGTGACGATTTGTTTCATAAATATCAGTTTGAAGTGCGCTTCGGGCGCGGGTCGCATATTTCCCGCATATTATAGAGGGCCGGAGTTCTGACGTTAATCGACGACAGACCGATATGAAAAAAGTCGATAAAACGTCAGAATAATTCGGACTAATGTAAGAGGATTTTCAACAGTTAAGTAAAGTTTGGTATTGTCAGCAAATAATTTTATTATTGATTTTATATAATAAACAACAATGGTCCTAAAATTGATCCTTGGGGAACCCCGGCTTTTATAGCTGCTATTTCGGAAAGAATGTCATTTATTACGGTCCTTTTGTTGCCTACTTGGTAAGTAGTTCTCAAACCATTTTTGAGATAACCCTGTATACCTAACCAATTCAATTTATAAAGTAAGCCTAAATGCCAAACCCTATCAAAAGCCTTACTAATGTCACAAAAAACATCCCTAATTTATTTTCCTGAGTCAAGTGCATTGCAAAAATCGTTAGAAATCGGGGATGAAGCTGGCTTGACAGGAAGTTATAAGTGTATTTGTATTAAAAAGTCGAATAAGTATTTAAATAAGCACCTTTCTATTACCTAGCCAATTAAGTTAAGATATGAAATAGGTCGATATTTAATTACATCACTGCGGGCATTCTTTTTTGTAAAGGAATTACATTGGCAAGTTTCCACATATTTGTTAAATACAATATGTAACGGATGGCAAAGTTCATTAGCAGCCTCTTTCAATAGACGAGGGTTTATCATATCTGGCCCCACTGCTGTAGAGACGTCAGGATATAGTATTATATCTTTTATATCATTTATACTTATATGGATGGTATTAAGGATAGACGTCGGTAATGGAGAAGGAGGAGGAGGAGGAGAAGGAGGGATTACAGCACTATCGTCAATAGTCTCGTTCAACCAGACTCTTGTTGTCAGCGCAAGCTACGTCATAGTGATCAAGCGTCTGGTTGAACGAGACTACTATATATCATCAATAGAGGACTGCTCATTGACATATTTGTCCTGTGTCGTGAAGATGGGCAAACACTTTTAGTGACGGAATTTCATTATTTTGTGAAGATCGCTGCATGAAGTGATTGATAGTTTGCCACCAAGATCGTTTATTACCATTAGAAGTGTTTAATAAATCAGAGGTGTTTTTATTGATGTAACTGAGTTTAGCTTGTCTAATGGTATTAGAACATTGTTTACGTATTTGTCGAAATCTTAACCCGATCTTTATCAGATCTCTTATTTCCTTACATTGCTGCACATCCAAGGTGTATCGTTTCTAATTTATTTCAGATAGGGTATTTCTATATTTATTGTAATCACAATGTTTAAATAACCACAATTTCTTTGAAAGGGAATTGATTGACAATTTGCCACATTGAGTATTCGGAATATCGGACAGTGATATCGCATATTTTGTGCTAGAAAATGCTCTCCTATATCAGTGCGAGTAAAGATATTGTCATTACTTGATATAATGACGTCTAAGAGAGATGCAGACTTTTCAGTGTAATACGTGGGTTCCTTGATCAGCTGTTTCATATTATACAGACGGTTAGTGTTATCTAAATATTAAAATGGCGGATTGGTAACAATATTATTTGCATTAAAATCACCTGTAATTATTATATTGTCTATTCCTGTATTATAAACGATATTAACATAGTGTTGATATTGTTTATAATGTGTCAATATATAATATTTACATGGTGTTGGTATTGTTTATAATGTGTCAATATATAATATGTACATGGTGTTGATATTCTTGGTTGATATTGTGTTTTATTAAACGTTTAAATTTAGATATCATTGATATTCTGTTCATACATATGACATGTACTAGTTATATTGTAAATATGTATACTTTTTGGATTCTTTTATTCAATTTCCAGAACGAATACATTGTCCACGCTTAAATAGCAAAGACTTATTTGTACTTGTTAATTTTTAGGTGTTGAATCAAGAGATAACGCTGAAAGAAGAATAACAGCTATCCTCTGGGAAAAATTCCTTTGTGGGATTTAAGTATTGTGACCGGATTTCAGCAAAGAAAAGGTGTTTCTGTACTATGTTCCAACGGCTAAACGACTGCTCTTATGGGATGTGAATTTATCAAAATACAATTTATGCCACTATCATCTGTCAATTAAAGAATTTGGCGTGTATGATTGACAGCTATGGTCATTTAAGGACGATTCAGGTTTTAGTGATAGGACCACCGGTGTAACCGGAAGAAAAACCTGCGGAAGTAGGCCTCGAACCGTCAAGTAGAAAGTCATAAGACACAACTCAAACATTAAACATAAAAGTCACTCTTATCAACCAGTGTTAGTTTCCATAAAGTTTATTATTACTATATTTTATACAATAATAACTTTGTCTTCAATAAGATTCATTCGTTTGGAAATATGTAATATCAAAGTTTTACCTGTTAATACTTACATTGTTTGTGTAGAAAGTAGAACTTTGATATCAATAATAACTTTTGTTTTCAACAGGGCTTGTTTGAAGTATAAGCATACGTCATATTTTAACATTACTCAGCTTGACAGATGAAGTTCTAATGGAACGACAACTGTCGTTCATTCAGGAAATACATGCAAACCAATCACGAATACACGGGGAAAAAGTTTCAGTTCAAATAGCACTTGGATAAGAATACCCTTCTACCAGGCTATCAGTCAGATTTAAATTATATGCAATTAAGATAAAGAAAATGTTTCTGTTCCCTCTAACATTCGACTAAAATAAACCGTTACAAAATACGTTTAAAATTAAAAAATGAACCTAAAGTAAGAAACCCACAGCAATGAAGCATGAAATAAAGACATCGCTTGAGTAATAACAAATTATTCATATTTTCTAAATATAGAAATTCATAAATACGGATAATGTTTAAATCAGACCAGTCTGAACAAAAATGAACAGGTGATTAGCACTAACTTACGATAAAGGACGCTCATAAACAAGCATTTCATGTATACATACTGGGCTGTATCCTGATAAAAAAAATAGTTTAATATGGCACAGGTGCACGCGCCACATCCTTTTGTGTGTAGTTATACCAATGACAAGTGTGCATGTATAGCCTGTCAGAGAAATATCGACACGGGTTGTCTCAGAATAGGCAACCTCCGAGGTCAAGTCTCAGACTGGTATCACCCTCCGTGTTTTTGGGAGAAGTGTCCTTATAAACATCATGGACGAGGGACAAACCTTGACCGTTTGACACTTGTGGAGCTGTTCCACGGGTTTGAAAGTATGTTATCGCATGACAAACTGAGACTTGAACAAGAGGCCTGTAAGCCACCAGAGAAATTCAAACGAAACCATCGCCATAATGGATTGGTCGCCAGTGGAGACCATGAGGTCAGTGCTGATGGTGGGGACTACGAACTAGACGACAATACGTTTGATTTAACTAACTTAATTTGCATACACGTGTTCAGACATAATCTTGATGTGTATGTAAGCATTCGGGAATATTTCAAACCTTCAGGTGCTGCGGTAGCAAAGGCGACAAAAGTAGGAATCTGTTTGACGGCAAAGCAATGGAACAAAGTTTGTCGAAAAAGATTTGGAATAGACAGTGCACTTAAAGCGATAGGAGACAAGCCGACAAAAAAGAAAGCGAAAGGAAACACTGATGAAAAAGACAGCGATGACGATGATGAAGAAGGTAAGTGCCAAAATCATCAAGTTAATGCTAATACCACACAATAGCTGACGATATATCCACCATACCGCTCGTCTCCCCCTTACTGTGCAAAAGAGCTCAGGTTTTGCCCCCTTACTACATCTTGTAACACTGCGCAACGGCTGATACAATGACAAAGCTGAGGTCATGTCCCGTTACTAACACTGCAATAACGTCGAGGTAAGCTTTACGTCCGAACACTTTACAGCAACTGAGGTTATCTCCCCTGCATAAATGTTACCAAGTAGTACAGCTGAGGTTATCTCCCATGTCGAACTTTACAATACAGCTGAATTTATCTCCCCTTTACAACACTATACAAAAGCAAATGTTATTGTCCTATGAAAGAATGAAATACATGCTTTTGATAAGAGTTATAAAGTTTTTCTTAAACCATGTATGTGAGTGTTATCAATATTTGTATCAACATGTCTCATGAAATTAACTTATTAATTAATTAATTTAATCCAAATCAAATAATTACACATACAAATTAACACAAAATCTTCATTTTTATGGTAATTTTGCTTTGTTTACATGTTATGGGGAATAGCATATATAACATTTAATTCATTGACTGAATTCCAAATCGGCCGTTTGACATCAGTCAATCTTCTAGTGATATATACTGTAACGATTATTTTACCTGCCCACTGTTGTTAAGCAATAAGACGCGCTTCCATCTTAAACTTGCGGCGCAGTAAAAATAATTTATTAGTATTTTGGAAATTTTTGTACAATTATGATAAAATAATTTAGCGTCTTTTATTCAATTTTTAGGTCAAGTGGTGTTTTCACTGTCATGGAAACGAAGAATAAGTATTTTCCGAACGAACAAGGAAGCTGTTGTTGACATTCGGGACTTCTCGGAAGAAAAACCATTTAAACCCGGAAACAGGGGAATAACTCTATCCAAAATCCAGTGGAACAAAGTCAAATCACTGATCGATTGTGTTAATTGTTCAGTGCTTTTGTTATCCAAGTAAAATGACATCAGATGTGAAATACCGCTTCTTTTTCACCACAATAAAGCTACAAACATGCAGTAATGAGAAACTTTTTTTTTTATTAATAAATAAATTAAAACACCTGGGTATTATAACCTAGATAGTTAAGTAACTGAACAAATGACCCTACTATTCTGAAGTATTAGCTGGAGAATACCAAAAAGACAACAGAACAAAAAAAAAATGGCCGCTTTCAAATATCACCTTCGAAACGAGACCACAGGTTGGATCAGATTTGTTTATGAAACGGGACTGACCTAATGATTTGACGTTACTTCTACAAAATAAGTGGTGGGTCTCGGCGAGTCTTTTTGAGGAAATCTCAAACAGACATTCTCTGCCGCATTTCTCCATCAACCATGAAATCGTCATTCCTTATATGCGTCATTGCACATGAATTGATTTCTTATTTCTGCGTTCCAAAATAAAACCGTACTGTTTTCCTGTATACATATTGCCAAATATCAGTTCTCTTTGTTAATGGAATGCCACGTGTTCCAATGGGCTGACATGTTCAACTCAAAGGATTTGTCTTGTCCTCTTCTGATATTTTATTGGGTCTGTAGTATAATTTACCAGGCTCCTTTATAGTTCTTGTTGAATAGCTTTTTCAGACAAAAAAGCAAAACGATTATTGAGTTGATGAATCGGATGTTGAGTACCTTTTTGTATGCGTAGATAATCTAATTTAGTAGGGAGGGTAAGCAGAACCCGCTTATCCTACCGGAACACCTTGTCCAATTCCGCTTGTTCTTTTCAAGGGTCTCCATGTCAATCTGAACCTGGTTCATATTTTGCCCCCGTTTTATCGATTTCGAGTTCGAATTATAGTTTTGTGAACATTTTCGTATTGCAGAGTTATTTCCTCTTGTGAGCAGGTATTGATTGTTACGTCATTAGTTTGTGTGAGAAAATAACGTCGTTTTCTCAAAAAATGATGACGTTACTCTCACAAACAAATGACGTAACAATCAATACCTGCTATCAGGAGCAGATAACTTTGCAATACGAAAAGACGGAATATACAACAATTTTAAAACTACCACATTGTAAGGAGGGAGTCCTTTATTCAAAAAAGTAAACAAAAATTAGTAATAGCTGTAAATTCTTTTGCGGTGTGGGATAATCTTAAAGGTTCTTTTTTATCTGAGGTCGAACTAAGCATTCAAAAATCCTCGTAGCTGCTTCATGACCTTGGACCTGTGTATATCACTTCAAGGCAAAGTGAGCCTACTGGACAGGGTGTATGTTTACACGTCGACCACAGCAAATGCAGGAAGAAACATCCGATGTAGCACAGGAATTACAAACGATCTATATTTAAGACATGTCAAATCCACACTCGTAGTTTTCACAGATCTCACAACGACGGCAGTTGTGTAAAAGTTCCTCCGAAAATATTTCAATTTTTTGTTCTGGGTTGCATCGAATATATCTAAATAGGGCAGAAAAAGGCAAGTCATACTGCAGCAAAAGGTTCCCTGTATATGTAGGAATTTTTGGTAAGCCTGCCCGCCATGTTCTGAGGGTGTACATCTTACATTAAAGGAGGATTTCGCCTTTTAAATCAAATATCGTGTTTAGGTTTGTGTTTTACTACTTGAAAATACCTTAAAATAAAAAGGGCAGAAAAAGGCAAGTAATACTGCAGCAAAAAACACCCTGAATATGGTACATGTGTATTATTCCGGCGTATCACTGGATATTTCTTATATATTTTGGTGTTTGTATCCTGATAACAATGTACATAAAGCATAGCAAAGGACATCACTGAAAGGAAAAATTAAACAATATTTGAAATTAAAAGATAACAAAACGATGGCAGAGAATATAATATTTTAATGATTTCTTTTGAAAGAATACACAAGGAAGCCCATATTTTACCGCATCCCTTTGATATGTTCATCAACAATGTTTTCTCTATCTAGCTCCGAAATTTCTGTTTATTGGTTTCAATGACCCATGTGAGCAATTCAATTTCCTAGAAACATATGTTAAGTTCTATTGTAAAAAGCCAATCTATGTATCATTGAAATATTTCTCTTTTTATATGCAGTTAAAACTCGACATTTTGCCAAACAATTTATTTATTTATTCGTGTATCAACAACATATTTTAATATTTCCTTAATTTGTTTTAAGTTATTTTGTATGTCTCCCCAATTTATCGTAGAACCCTTTAAAACGCTCTATGGACGATGTAAGTTTAACGAGACTTATCAAAATGCATCCAAATAAAATATAGCTTTTTTTCTTTTTTTCTTTCTTTCATGAAACGACAAGAATCTTGAATCGTGTGATTCCCTATATTACTTCCGAATGTTTACGTGTAAAGCTGTGAATTTCCGTTTGTTTCCGCGTGTGAACAACTCGTTATTTTGATACCAAGGATTGAAATATAATAATCATGTTTTTTTGTGGATTGAAAATAAATCTTTTTTGCTTCCTATTTTATTATCATTAGTACAGTGTCTTCAGAAAAATGCGCTATTTTATAATTATCAATTCAGATCTTGTGGTGCTTCCAATCGAGGCAAAGTTGGTTCAGCTCTATATGGAGAGATAATTTTACTCTGGTACCGAGTCTGTGGTTTTATTAGAATCTTAACCTGGTACTGAGCCTGTGGTTTGATTAGATCCTTAACTTGGTACTGAGCATGTGGTTTTAATTAGAATCTTAACCTGGTATTGAGTCAGTGGTGTAATTAGAATCTTAAGCTGGTACTGAGCCTGTGGTTTTAAATAGAATCTTAACCTGGTACTGAATCTGTGGTTTTAAATAGAATCTTAACCTGGTACTGAATCTGTGGTTTTAATCAGAATCTTAACCTGGTGATGAGCCTGTGGTTTTAATTATAATCTTAACCTGGTACTGAGCCTGTGGTTTGGATTAGAATCCTAACTTGGTACTGAGCCTGTGATTTTAATTTGAATCTTAGCCTGATTCTGTGCCTGTGTTTTGGAATTTTATACTGGTACTGAGCCTGTGGTTTTAATTAGAATCTTAACCTGGTACTGAGTCTGTGGTTTAATAAGAATCTTAACTAAGTACTGAGGCTTTGGTTTGAATCAGAATCTTAACCTGGTACTGAGTCTGTGGTTTTAATTAAAATCGTAACCTGACACTTTCATAAAATGAAATGCATATCATCGCCAATTGCTGAACAAATACAGCTGGCACTCATTGCTATTTTTGAAAACACTTTCACATGAGGAAAACAAACAGCAAAATGCTAGCCAATTCTTATTATCAGATGAGTCTGGTGTTCGTTGTAAAATCGAATGATTCCGTGTATAATCATGTGATGTCTGCATATTTAACAGTTTTGTTAAAAAGTATGATAACACTTTTCTTTACCAAAATCATTTGAAAGATATATCGGAAAACCGGCTAATAGAGAAATCAATTAATATATTTGAATACTTATATAAATGAAGGATCATTCTACGGTTATGACGATTGGCTAATATAATTTAAAAAGAATCGACCTTGCGATCGTCAGAAAATTCTTTAATTCTCGATAGAAATCGGTTACTTTTAGGCTGAATTTGCTGTGCTTCATTATACTGTGGCATAAACATTCCTATGCCAGAAAGATCCATCAATTTTGACATCATGCTAAAGTCCATGGGGTTTTCCTCCTCCTCCTCTTCTTCTTCTACTTCCTCTTCTTCCTCCTCTTTGTCTTCAACTTTCATTTTGTTTAAACGAGCTGTGCTGATTGGTGCCTCGTATTTCTGAGGCGCGCCTCGCCTGTTCCGTGACCGATAATTAGGCCTGGATCCAGGGGGGCCTGGATAGGGAGGGTGCGGGATTTTACGACCAGAGCTGGGCTTGTAATCAGGAGAATAAGGATCAGCCGTGGGGTAGGGATTAGGACTTGGATATGGATCGTTTGTTGGGTAGGGATCGCCCGTTGGATATGGATCGTTTGTTGGGTAGGGATCTGAAGTTGGAAACGGCCTTGTTGGGGGATATGGGCCTGGGGGTGGTGGCCTTGGTCCGGGGGGACCAGGAGGCATTGGAGGTTTAGGAGGCATAGGTGGGGGACCGGGGGGA